TCATCTTGGGGCGGATATTCCGATCCGAACCGCAACATATAACATATTTTTATGATTGCTTGTGAGTCAATTTTCATTATTCCAGCTTGGAAAGGGTCATAAGATATGAGATTCCTTGTTCCTTGGCGGACTGTAAAGCTATTAACCACCCCAAGACTAGCAAAGAACTGATAATTTATGTTTATGCCAAGTCAAAGGTACAGTGCATATGACCAGTAGAAAGGATTTCACGATCAATCAAAACGAAAGTAACCTGCAAATCGAACCCGGGTCGCCCGATTCACAGTCGTGTTGAGCGAGCCGAGCGACTTAAATTGAGATGGGACCCTACCATTTTGAATTAATGTTTTGAAAAGATGTGACAATGAATAACCTCATTCTGGAGAAAGTTCTGTAATGATTCTGTTAATAGTCAGAGCCTGATGTCTTTCCCTCTTTTTATTATCTTCTTTGTGATAAATATATTTTGTAACTGTGGTTTATATAATTCAGTCATTTAATAATGTTTGCGAAAAAAAATATGGTTGAGAGCCTTTGCTTTTAAAATCAGCTTAAGATGCAGATTATCTTGCATTTTATGTTTATATGTGTTTTTGTTGATATTAATATTGTTGATATTAATATTTGTTGTTTAGATATTTTCTAGAAATCAGACTGTGATCAATGTTCGTCTACACTTTTTTGTCATTTTGAAAAGGGGGTGTAAACAGTATAAACATTAGGGATCAGCCTCCACGATGTCACTCTTCTTCTAAAAACTTTGCATATTGTAGTGCACAAACAATACTGAATAAAAAATGTCGGACAGGGGAAAAACGAAGTATATGATTAATTACTTAATGCAAGAGAAAGTTTTGTGAGGCTGGTCTAGGATTTTGCGACTGTCACCGCAAAGAATTATGTGTTATATCCTTGCGTGTTTATTTTATTGACTATTATCAGATGAATAGCCTAGATTTAATCAGATATCATAAATAATTCATAATGTTCTTTGAATACCGGATACTTTACAACAAACATGGAGATACTGCTTCTTTTTGAGGCTGACAAGAAAAAATGATATCTATTTCATGCTCACCATCTACAGGGCATGTTTGCATACGAATGTTTGGCCATGTATGTCACATTCAGATGTCATTGAGCATTGTTGTACAGTTAATACATATTTAAAGAGTCTTGATGTTGACCTACCACCAACATTCATTCAGTATTTGAGGTCAGAACAGAACCGAGCATTTATTTAGAGTTATGAATTCGTCGTTTGTTAAATATTTATTTGTGAAAACTGTCAGTGAAAATAATTCAAAGTTTGAAGAAGTCAGTTACATGTTTATCAAAAATTTATACAGAGAATACAATATATCTAGTTATGAAAATAATATATCGTTAAATTTGTATAATAAAATTTTGATGAAATAGAAAATCGATTATTACGTAAATTGTATTTTGTGGTGAATTACTTAAAGTCTGAAGGTTCAAAATCAGTAGGTAATATGGCATTCTTCGTATAATAAATTGCTTTTACAGTATGTATATAATATATATAAGATTTTAAAGTGACATTGACATGTTAAATTGAACCCTTAATATTCAATTGATTTGATAATACAATAAAACGTGACTTAATGTTTGAATGACTACGAAACCGATTCAACAGGTTCAACATATTGTATTTATATAGCTCTAGTTCGTTCTAATTGCATTATATTCTCTTTTCATATAAAATAATTGTATAACGACCACTTACATAACTATAGACTGTCACAACTAATTTATTTCAAGAGTTATCAAATTTCATTTAATAATAATAAGAAGAAAGATAATAAAAATGTTTATTCTCTTTTTGAAAATGTGCAGAAAATATAAGTTCATAATAAAAAGGAGGATAATAAAATAACATGAATAGGTGTATATGTTGTGAATATAAGTTTTGATGAAAAAGTAAACCAATTAGGAATAAGATAACGTAAATTGTATTTTTAGTGACTTATTTAAAGTATGTCTTGTTGTCTTGGAAACATTGTTTTTATGAAGAGGTCACCACATCATTGAAACTAAATATAATTCGCAGATGAGTAAAGAACTGGTGAGTTCTATTGTAACTTATGTAAGAACAATATACCGTTTTGAAATAAGAATTCAGCATATAATTTGTATATGAAATGAATCTAAGTGACCGCACAAGGAATTGATTCATTCCTAGATGATTTTAAAAATCCTAAATTTAATTGTATTGCGTCAATATTATGGCAACTTAGAAATTTATTATTATTCATAACTGACGATTCATAAGCCAACACAGTTTACCAAAAGATGTTTAACTTCTTCAGTTGATATTATTAATAACACAAACAATATATTAAACTCATAATGAGCATTACGTATGACCTTCATATATATATAATAATTCTTAATCCGTTATATGAATGTCTATGCGTGGACATCTGTTAAACAATAGTAAACAGTGACATGTAACAATACGATTTTGTATTTCTCGTATACAGCCGTATCACATTAGCTTTCTATAGATAATGTCAATTTTTGCAAGGCCTTGATTATATAACTATATTATAAAACGGAGGTGATATTCCTCGCTTTAATTTGATTGAAATTCGTTGTCTTTGGGTAATTAGCAAACCCTTTAAGGTAAGTAAAATGAGGCTTTAAGGGATTTTGGGAATTCTTTCCAGAAAGAAAAACGAATCCTGTATTTCCGATAATAATTTCGTCGTTGAAATGACTTTATTCTCATTCAGCAAATCTGAATGTCCAACCGCTTAGTTGATTATAATTATTCTTTAAAAAGGAGTTTAGTTCTGACATTACAAAGTGTTTACAAAACGGATCACAGGTCAATCAATATGTTTTGATTAGGATTCTGCTATAATCTAACATAGTCGATAAACATGATAAAATAATCTATACTTGACCATTTGAACAGATTTATATATTAGTTGCTCTGATATCGATACACTTAATTTCTATAATACTGTCAAATATAAAACATTGGAATACAGATTTATCAAGGTTAGTCGAAGTTTCATTTTATACATTGGTGCTATTGTTTACGATGAGGATTTTATAGCAATTAATTGATTATATATATGATCATGTATATAATCAATGAAAAGTCTTATAACGAATCTATAAAATTGCGCTTCAAATATTTAAAAAAAAGAAGATAAATTTGAGCATGACTACTACTATAATAGAAATACTATAATAATGAATACTATAATAATGAATACTATAATAATGAATACTATAATAATGAATATTATAATCATGAATTCTAAAATAAAATATATTATAATAATGTTAATAATGATAATAGATACTATAATTATGAATACTATAATAATGAATACTAAAATAGATAATAATAAAATAATGCATGCTTTAATCATGAATATTAGTTAATGTGTTCTGCAACAACTTGTCATGTAATTTTATCCTATTTAATCAGCGTATCTGTACTTCTGTAAATCTAAAAAAAAACATATGTTAAGTCAGCATAAAGTCTGATTTCTCTGTCGTCGAGACAGATTTGTTTTCAATAATGGTGACTGTTTAACAAATACTAACACATTAATATTTGCCGCTGTTTAAAGTCAAATATTTTATTATAACAACTAACCCGTTACACATATAAACGAATGCAAATATAAAATCAAGTAGTGACTTAAACACATTTAAATTTCCACAGCAAAACTCATATAAATAAGATAGTATATAATCTATGAATTCACTTATGATATTAAAAATATGTAACGCGCTTAACTAATTATTTTTAAATCAGAAATGGTAAACGAGCGGTTTTTACTTTTACGCCCCATGCACTTATTATTTAAAAAAAATGAAATCAGAAGTTTTGTTGGTCATATTTGTATAGCATTTGAAAATAGCTGCTAATTAAATAAAGTACTAGTTTTAGTTCATAAGCCTGTTAGTAAGTTTGTATGTTTATCTTAAGAATTAAAACTTGATGGCCTTTTGAACTTACGTTATCAAATATCATTTTGAAACTTGGCATAGTCATATAACGTACTAAAATGTATTTAGTTATATAGGCGTTATAGGCTTTCATAAACACATGTAGAAAATGAATGGTTGAGTTTATCTATTATCTGGTTACATTTGGTGCACACGGTCGTTTTATAAGTAGTTGTAATAAAACTTTGAAAGCATTGTGTCAGCATTTCAATACCTACCAATAAAGATTCAACTGGATATCTGTCGCTTTATGTTGTTGTTTTTTGCGGACATTAAATAACGTATAGATTTCTCTTATCATTATGGTAATCAAAGATAGGTATACAGCTTGCACTGCTTTCAGGTGAAAAGGAATGTGAGGGAACAATTGAAAACTTAACATAAAAAAACCCATAAAAAACAGCACACTTATCTGCATTTGATATGAAATGATAAATGACACCCAGAACTGATAAATGGCATCTTACATTGAAATTATTATGATATAAAATCATGTGAGAACGAGACTTGCCTTTATAAACAGATGAAACACGTAAAGCACGTGCTTTATTTCATTTTTTAAGGAAGATTATTGTAATTTAACCTATAAAAACATCAAAGCACAATCTGTTTGTGAAACGTACACTTTGACTGCATAAATATTCAGGGCTGATAAGGTACAGCTTGACATTAGTTTATATATTTTTTATAATAATAAATACGTGTAGAAAGTTTAAAAAATACATTTTACATTTATTTCAAGTTATATGGAAATTAATTTGTGCCAGATTGTTGCAAAAATATTGAAATTTGAATACATTATTCCATTTAGAGTTTGTATTTTATCGACAATCTATTATGAATATGATATCATCGTGGTTTTTTTTATACAATATAAATAAAAAATAACTTGACATCTTAGAGCAGTCACGTTTTTTATTTTTTATATTTTTTTCTTTATATGCATGTGTTTAGAGAGTATGTGCGTTTTGTAATAAATCTACCGTATATCTATCTTATCTTTGATCAAATACATTATGCCTCTCAGTTATGAATACATGTACATTTGGATATGTGAATATAACATTTGATCTATGTACTTGACTGTATAATCCAATTACAGATGAAGGAAGCGTTAAACAGATTTATCTGTATTCCAAACATTTTTATTGAAAAGAAGAGGAAAAAAGCTGAACTTTCATTGAATTCTGTATATTTTTATCAATGTGAATTTAAATAGTTTAACTTTCAGTTCATAATAAAAGTTTATATACATTTATTGCAGCTGTTTATATGAAGCTATTGGATACATCAATAACTTAACAAGTAAGCAATTTTCATTTACAGTTCCGCTTTAATAAATGCTTTATTTATTAAATTGTTGTGTTCCTCATATTTCTGTCATTTAGATTTTTTTTATAAATATGACATATATCAGTCAGGGTATGACTACGTGTATTTCAAACAGCTGTTAGTGTAATTGATCTTAATCATCAATATTTATCAGGAAAATGTTCATCAATTTTCGTGTAACTAATCACTATTTCTTATTTCATCTTATTTTTTTATTTGATGATAGTCTGTATTTTTATTTGAGCATCACCTCTTTTATTGATCATTAATTTTATTTTGAATTTGATTATAAATTTTAACTTAATTATTTAATCTTCAATTTTATTTTTTAAGTTTGTCAATTTTATGTTGAGTTTGGCCATTAATGTTATCTATAATAATTTAACAAATAAAATTCATCTGAGTGTTTACGAGATAATATTTTGAATTATGTCAATCCTTAAACCTTTTAGGTAAGATTTACATAATATGTTACATCCCGAAAAACGTCTCACAATCATTCAAGTAGGTCCGAAAAAAAAAAGACTTTTACGATACACCGTTACTAGTAATGTAGGGAGACACAGGCAAAATTTTCATTTCCTCGTTATTCATTAATCTGTAAATGTCACCAAGATGAATGCACTAGGCAGTCACAGGGACAAAACCTTTCTTCTTATAAAGAATAAAATGGTGGTTTCCTAACTTGACCCACGTGGGAAGGCATATATATATATATATAACAGATACATATAACATGTATGTCTGCCTGTATATATTTAATTACAACAAGTATGAAAACAACAGTTACTTATGTGAAAGTTTAGAAATCGAAAAAAAATGTGCTTTAATCACATGTTGAAAATTGTAAAAAAGGGGAGATAATAATTTAGAAACATATTTATCAATCAGTATATTTTATAAAGCTATCAAATAAAATGAAAATGATCTATCTATTATCTATTCAAAATATGGTATTATGCTCAAAATCAATTTATGTTATATGAAATAATGAAAAACCATATGAATACATTACGAATAATGTAGTATATAAATGTAACAATCAAAATTATGCGTGAATAAAGGGAGGTAATTAAATACTTATATCATCGACATAAATAATGTATTTGTATAGATTTAAATAAATTAATAACATTTTTAGATACAGTGAATGACTACTAAAATAGAACAGTCTTTTTATGCCGATATGTACTAAAAAAAATATTGACGAGTTTGTAAAAAGTTGCAAGTATATTTAGATCTACTTGAAAACTGATTTTAAAATTTGTAAAGCACTTTTGCATTTAATCCCTTCGGGTAAAATGTTTCTAACTTATGTATCCAGTATGTCTCTTTCAAAAGTCTCCCCATATTATCATGAAGTTTATCAATCGGCATAAAGGAAAAGTCATCAAGTGAGTGATCTTCGGAATTGAAATGAATTGCAACATTAGAAGAAAAATTGGGATGATTATTACTTCTTATATCAAATTTATGGCTGTTCATTCTTTTTGATACCTGTTGATGGGTTTGGCCGACATACTGTATTTTACATTTTTTACAAGTAATTAAATAAATCACGTCACTAGAAGTACAATTTCCATCAAAATGCATTTCGAATGTTTCTCCAGTATTTGTACTCCAGACTTTTCCTTTATGCCGATTGATAAACTTCATGATAATATGGGGAGACTTTTGAAAGAGACATACTGGATACATAAGTTAGAAACATTTTACCCGAAGGGTTTGAATGCAAAAGTGCTTTACAAATTTTAAAATCAGTTTTCAAGTAGATCTAAATATACTTGCAACTTTTTACAAACTCGTCAATATTTTTTTAGTACATATCGGCATAAAAAGACTGTTCTATTTTAGTAGTCATTCACTGTATCTAAAAATGTTATTAATTTATTTAAATCTATACAAATACATTATTTATGTCGATGATATAAGTATTTAATTACCTCCCTTTATTCACGCATAATTTTGATTGTTACATTTATATACTACATTATTCGTAATGTATTCATATGGTTTTTCATTATTTCATATAACATAAATTGATTTTGAGCATAATACCATATTTTGAATAGATAATAGATAGATCATTTTCATTTTATTTGATAGCTTTATAAAATATACTGATTGATAAATATGTTTCTAAATTATTATCTCCCCTTTTTTACAATTTTCAACATGTGATTAAAGCACATTTTTTTTCGATTTCTAAACTTTCACATAAGTAACTGTTGTTTTCATACTTGTTGTAATTATTTACTAGCCTAGTTTCCCTATGAAAATATATGTATCTTTTGATCCAGTTATTTTATGTAATTCCTTTCGAAAATTATATATGCTGTTTTTTTAAAAAAGTATATTTATACATACATATGCACATGTTTTATTGTAATACTTATTGTAATATTATCACGTTCCTTTTACGCGCCAAATGTAACGTCTATTAACGTAGACGTTTGTTTTGTACGTTTACGTCATTTTTATATATGTATCAACTGAGGAAGCTTAATAAAGCGAAACATGTTTCGATACTTAATTTGTGTTGGTTTTTGATCCAATTATCCTGCCTGTATATATAACAGATAGTTATGACATGTATGTCTGCCTGTATATACATATAATTATATAAAACATATATGTATTACATGTCTGTCTGGCTGTATATATAACAGATATGAGGGTTTGTCTTTGATTAAATCTATGAAAACATACTAAGCTGATTTTTCATAAAGAGATAAATTATTACAATTATTTCTGCAATCAAATGCTGTTTAGGCTTTCCAACATTGTTAAGGAACAATAATTCAACATTGCTTAATTTATCAACTATCCCCTGAAGTTAAATAAAAGTTGTCGGGAGTACAACTCCTAAACTATCGAAGATTGAAACTTCACACAGTTGTCGAGACTAGTAGGAGAACTTGTAGTCTCAAAGAACCATAACTCTACATTACTTACTTTTTGAATTATCTCCCTTTATAATACTTAACTTGTCCAGAGAATAGCATAAACAATAGTGAAGGAATGAATTTAACCTTCATACAGTGATAGAGACCATTGAAAATAAAAGCATAATTCTATCTTGCTTATAATTTAATGATCTCCCTTCATGATACCTAAATTGTTTTCTGTCTTATAACTTCTTAACTATCAATATTGTTTTTTCATTTAAATTTCACACAATAATAGAGACTAGTAATAAAAGTGCAGTGTTAAGGAATCACAACTCTTCATTGCTTTATTTTATCTCCCTTTATAAAACATAAAAAAATGTTTGTCCGGAGAAAAGTTCCACTAATCCAAAATACAAGTCGTGTTTCAATGAAAAATCAGTATTGATAGTAAAGACGTTAAACAGATAGTACCATGAAGCACGGACATGTAATATAAATCCGTGCATGAAGTGAGATCGCGAAAATATAAGCAAGATAAAATTATGCTTTTTTTATCTTCATTGCATGTAATTTTTTATTAAGTATAGGTTAAAGTTTATTTTACGTATTCAAAAATTAAATTGGTCAGGTGCCGCACCTGTTACGATTCATTTGAAACACAGCAATCCTATTGGACAAAAATGAACTGAATTAATACACGCATTATTTGGTCGTTTTGTTTAGTTATTCATTAGTGAATTTAGTAAATTATATAACGCCTTGTTGATTATTTTCTTCACCCCAGCTGAAACAATTCGAATTAAAATAAAATTAGTGTCAGGAAGAAAGAGACTTGACCATCTTACCAATATGCTATGAAATCAAGTGTGTCTCTAATTGAATAATTGCGCTCATGTATCCTTTCAAAGAGAATTTTAAATGATTATAGATAGTTCGTTTGTTTTTCATAAAAAGATACTCTATGGTAATTATGCGAACTACGTTTTCCCGCACCATTTTAGTTCAGATATTGTCTATCAACTGTAACTTTTTTCACCAATGTGTGGTGAATAAATCATTTCGTAGCCTGGTGATTAATTACTGATATGGAAATTAGTTCAAAGGTACACAATGGTTGCTAGAAATTCAATAAAAATAAGGTTGTTGTGATTAGCCCATAATTGTAATACAATTGTAACATGCTATTAATCATGGGCCATATTATTGTAATATGTCTTCGTATACCTTGGATACACCACATATACTGGTGAAGAATGTACTAAACTGGACGAATACAATCTCTTAAAATAGTTATTACAACATTTTACGGTAAAGCTAATAAAGATTAAAAAGATTTTATGGTTATCAAAGTGCGTAGATCTTTATTAAGTAAGTCGATCTAATTTTGGATTAAATATGTAACCATTTTTGAATTTTAGAATAAAGAAAAAGATCAAGTTTTAACAAATGAAAACACTAGACAAGGTGAACATTTTATATCGTGTTACCGGTTAGCATGAATTCAATCATCAATGAAGTAAGGATGGTGAATTATAAACGATGTTTCTGGATATATGCGGTACTTGTTTACATGTGGATACCAGCTTTCGGCAATCTTTCAAACAGAACCATGTACGTTACATAGTTTATAAAATATAAATGTTCAATGAGTTTTAAAATCAGCTGTAGATTTATATATAAGATATATACATTGTACTTTTTTTGCTTTTTAAACTTTTTTTTTTATCAAAGATGTAATTATCAAACTTTTGATAATAAGAATAGAAATTCACCTGCAAACTGTTTCTCACAATACTCGTGCTATGATCTGAACTTATGTTGCTTTATTATCGTGTAATAATAGTCCATTGATAATCAGTTATATTTTCTATGATTGTCAGGTCGACAATTCTGACAGAAATATTCCAGAATTATGACAAGAAACTTCCTCCTAAATACGATAAAGGTATGTCTAAATATATCTTCACAAGAAATACAACATTGTTGTACAGAATGTTTCTACATGTTTAAATTGGATATATGTCTGACATCATGCATTATCATCTTATCGTGCATTGTTACATGTTGGAATATTACAACTTATTATCTCTATCATACTTTCTCACAATAAAATATGGCAATATATTTATTGAACATCTCGCCTACATTAGTTTATTGCTGGAGTACAATGTATTTTATTTAATACAACTGAAAATAGTTGATGTCTTTGTGAAGCAAAAGTTTGTTTTTTATTTAAAGAAGGGTTAAATGATATGTTTAATAAAACATCAAAATAAGTTATATATATTTTAATGAATTTTCAGTGGGGTTTGACAGACAGGTGAAGGTCACTGTAAATATATACGTCAATTCTATGTTTTCTATCAGCGAAGCAGACATGGTATGTATATATATCTTAAATATATAACAACAAAAATGGATTTTGTAATAATCATCAAATATTATCATGGCTTATATCATCTTACATGGCTTAATTAAGATTTGGTTTAGTAGATATATACATGCAAGAAATACAAAATAAATATCTTGAGTACACAATTTATGATAGTTTATCAATTAAGTAGTGTCGACATACATTTTGGTATGTTTCACAGGGTCTTTCAAATTCCTGAAAGGCCTATGTCCACACATGTCAATATACATATATAAGACGGCTGATCATGTTGATAATCATGTCTGTAGTAATATATAGTTGTTAATTGCAATTAAGGACTATTCCATGAGTATATTCCTACGAGAGCGTTGGCATGACGACAGATTGACATATGTTGATGACATCAACATTACAAGACTAGAACTTGACAAGTCATTATTTGATGACGTATGGATGCCAGACATGTATATACTTAACGAGAAATCGTCTGATTTTCATGAAGTAACAATTCCAAATAAGCTGATACATGTATACCCAGACGGAGCAGTTCAGTACAGCGCCAGGTAGCTTATAACATATTTTTGAAAAGAAAAAATAAACGAACTAAAAACAGATCCACTTTCAGTTTAACGAGTTTGTAAATCTAATAGTTTATGATGCATATATTTCATGTTAACTTATCTTTTAAAACATGAATGTGAGCTAATTATTGTGTCATCAGATAATTAAGGGTATTAAGGTTTTTCTGGTAAGCTTCTCTGATCAATAACTATCTAAGTTGATGGAAGTACCATGACATTTTCTTTGAAGAATTCACCTAGGTAATATATTTGCAGAGTAACCGGTTCATTCTCGTGTCTGATGCATCTTCAGAAATATCCGTTTGATACACAAGCTTGTCATTTTGAAGTGGAAAGTTGTAAGATTTTCTCTACATTTTCTCATAAAATTCATTCTGAATTCATCTTACATTACGAGTTGTGGAAAGATATGCACTTTATTACAATTATAAAGATAATACAAATCATGCTAACGACTAAAAATATTACTGACAATAAACGACGTAACAATGATAAAACCGTGTTATTACAATTGTAACTGAGGAATGTTTGATTGTATTTAAAACAATCTTGTATCATAAACTATTAAATTGCTGAATTTATAAGTGATATTGTTTCATATCTACTTTATATCTCGCTGTTTTCACTTGCTGCATAAAACATATTTCAGATGGGCACAGCACAGAAACAATGAAGTTTGTTTGGAGTGAAGGTGCAGTGTCGTTGGCCGAGGATATAGAATTTCCTCAATTTTCTATCACTAAAATAAAACCTTACTCGTGTGAGAAAGATTACTATGGAAGTAAGTCTAGATAATCACATACATTTATACTGAGTGAACTCAACTCAAAATAGAGCATGCTCGTTGACTGGCTGTATTTTTTCTGTGGTTTACTTAGAATAACGATAGAAAAGTCATATTCAGATGCTCGTACATTGGTACCTTTTTTCTTTTTCTGACGACAGGGAGCGTGTTTTTCATTCTGTCTATGATACAAAAGAAAAGGAACATCAAGACACTCGACAATCCGGTTTATAGCCCCCTCGTACAAATCAGAGCGTCGATGCTCTTTCTATATCATCTTCTATGAACTTCGAATTATTTTACTAGTGCATCAATGTCTCATTAACCACATTGTATGACAATACTTAATTGAAAGTTTTATTTTGATAGGTCCGATCAATTTCTTATAAAACAACCCTCTCTAGTAAAGTAATGATCCATTGTTATACATGTACAAGTAATTATAAAAAGCTTTCAGCTGAACTCGTAAATAATTGAGATATTTTTATCAGTAACTTGAAATTGCTTTATTGTTGAAATAATTGAACAAAGAAAATGTGCTTTAATTGGCGAAAGTAGAGAAAATGCATCTGATATTGTTCAGTAAATTACGTTTGTACAGGTGTGTGGTCACTTCAATAGTTATCTTAAATCAACAAAATTAATATTGTATAGTAAGGCTATAAATCACGTATTGAGATTGAAGTATAAATGTTATGATGTCGTTACGACATTGATTGAAAAGACTGTGTACGAGATTTACGTAATCATCGTAATTACACGTATTTATTGTACATGAAGAGAATATCATAATAATGATTTAACACATTTACGTTCTTCCTTTGTTTCAGTTGTATACCCCTGTATAGGAGTGAAATTCATCTTGAAGAGAAATTATGCATACTATCTTATACAAATATATGTGCCAAGTATATTGATTGTAATATTATCCTGGGTGAATTTCTGGTTGGATTGTACATCAGTTCCTGCTCGAATCTCTCTCGGACTTTTGACTGTGCTAACCATGACTACCCAAAGTGCTGGAGCCAGAGCAAACCTTCCTAGAGTGTCATATGTGAAGGTTGGTAATTATATACTTTATACATGTACATACTGTATTTGAAAACAACAACAACTACGTGGATTTTTTTATTTTTGATATACATTTGTATTAAGGAATGTTACACACAAATGATTAAAAATGAATTGATGCACTCCACCATGCAGAGATTCAAATATAGAGTCAAGCGTATTAATATGTTCACATACAAGTAGACACTGTTTTTGGTATTACATGTACTTAATGAATACATGCAATTTCACGGAGTGTTCTTGTTTGCAATCAGAATACAGTCATGTTTACAGCATTACCTATTATTTTTCCAGGCAATAGATGTTTATATGGCAACATGTCTTACATTTGTTTTCCTTGGATTACTTGAATTTGCATACGTAAATGTTTTACTCCGAGCGGAAAAAAGAAAACCTCCCGAAAAAGCCAACACAGTTAGTAAGGAGAATGGAAATACAAAAGAGCCACCATTATCAAATGTGTCATCACAGGAAATAAGTACTCCAGTTCACGAGAATGATGTATGTTTCATTTTCTCAGTTAACATGTAAACGGCACATAGTATTTACTTCTTTTTCTTCTCAATATATTGATGAAATACATGTATGTAGCATTTAATGAGGTTTTTGTAAATACAGCATAACATTTGCTACTCCATTGGTAATGCTTAAATGTGCTTGAAACAAGAACGAAATAGAAGATTTTTATTTCATTATTACATTGTAAAAGCAAATATTACATTAATTGTTTCATATATCGGTTCTGTTCTTTAAAATTTGATATTTTACTGTTTAAGGTATCCGTTTCTATAACGAGTAATAAAAGAAGTTGCTCATGGTTCCAGCGATTATCTGGTTTAGGGAGGGCTCGACTAGTTGACAAGGTGTCACGTGTTCTGTTCCCTGCAGTGTTCTTAGTGTTTAACATCATTTACTGGATTTATTACTTCATGTGGGACCCCGAATTTGAAGAGAGTTGATTGATTTGGAAGCGAGTATAATACAATGTGTCTAATTTTCCCTATGTTGACCATAAAGCCGGTGATCACTTCTTAACATTGTCAAACTTATTTTCATTCACAATAGTATAAACGTGATATTGACCACCTGTGTTTCATTCATATGCAATAAACTTGATATTAAAACTGTGTGATAACGTTACTGTTTCGATTGTGTAATAAAGTGAGATTTTATATTGTATAACTGTATAAACATTTTATGCTACACTGTTTATCCCGTCTTGTCAAAAGTGAATGAAAATTGGAACGGCAATTTTACTAACAACATGGCTACTATTCTACGTTCAGAAATTACTATATTTAAAAATACATTTCAAAAATGTTACAACAAATTATTTTTCCAACTTATAAGGGAACAAATAATAATAAATACAACACTTTGTTAACTTATTTTAGTATATTATCATAATTATGTAGATTGTATATGTTAAGCATTTCATAAGTTATATCGTCACCAAAATAATATAACAATATAATAGTTTACTTGTATAACACTATTTAACTTTTTATACAGATATATTATTTATTAAATATTTCATGCACGTTGTATATTTATTGTATATCAAATGTGCTTTGATATGATGTAGAGATGAAGAAGACAGTTAACATTTCGTTCTAGTTGATATTGTTATAACGTAAACTAATATCCATAAAAACTCTCTTAGATCAGTTAGTCATCAAAACAACTGTTTGGATATCATTTATTATTCACAAATTTTATATAGATATTTGATAGAAGGACAAAATACATATAAACAATGTTGTGAGAGTATAGCTCTGTATGAACAATTCGGTATACTGGTAGTTCTGTGTATTCTGTATGAACGATTCGGTATACTGGAAGTTCTGTGTATTCTGTATGAACAATTCGGTATACTGGTAGTTCTGTGTATTCTGTATGAACAATTCGGTATACTGGTAGTTCTGTGTATTCTGTATGAACAATTCGGTATACTGGTAGTTCTGTGTATTCTGTATGAACAATTCGGTATACTGGTAGTTCTGTGTATTCTGTATGAACAATTCGGTATACTGGTAGTTCTGTGTATTCTGTATGAACAATTCGGTATACTGGTAGTTCTGTGTATTCTGTATGAACAATTCGATATACTGGTAGTTCTGTGTATTCTGTATGAACAATTCGGTATACTGGTAGTTCTGTGTATTCTGTATGAACAATTCGGTATACTGGCAGTTCTGTGTTTTTTGTATGAACAATTCGGTATACTGGCAGTTCTGTGTATTCTGTATGAACAATTCGGTATACTGGCAGTTCTGTGTATTCTGTATGAACAATTCGGTATACTGGCAGTTCTGTGTATTCTGTATGAACAATGCGGTATACTGGCAGTTCTGTGTATTCTGTATGAACAATGCGGTATACTGGTAGTTCTGTGTATTCTGTATGAACAATTCGGTATACTGGTAGTTCTGTGTATTTTGTATGAACAATGCGGTATACTGGTAGTTCTGTGTATTTTGTATGAACAATGCGGTATACTGGTAGTTCTGTGTATTTTGTATGAACAATGCGGTATACTGGTAGTTCTGTGTATTCTGTATGAACAATGCGGTATACTGGTAGTTCTGTGTATTCTGTATGAACAATGCGGTATACTGGTAGTTCTGTGTATTCAGTATGAACAATGCGGTATACTGGTAGTTCTGTGTATTCTGTATGAACAATTCGGTTTACTGGTAGTTCTGTGTATTCTGTATGAACAATGCGGTATACTGGTAGTTCTGTGTATTCTGTATGAACAATTCGGTATACTGGTAGTTCTGTGTATTCTCGACCACGGAACAATTGAATGAATGTAATTATTTCAGTACGATCAATATAATTAAATTTTACTGGGTATACTTCGCCTACGTTATGTGATGAATGTTTACTTTTGAACTTAAAAAGAAGTTCAGTGTATAGGCAAATATAAAAGATTACGATCAAACTGAACAGCCATGCGCAATTTCATCTTTTAAATCGAAATTCATTTACAATTGTATCGATCTGTAAAAAGATGTTATCCAGAACTCCGCAAATGTGGGTTTTCCCAGCTAATCCAACCTTTACCGTTAAATCTTCACGCATAGAACAAATTTTACGGGAGATTGTAACGAGAAAAGTTGACCCTTTTTGATGCTGAAATCTTTTAAAAGCAAATTTTGCTTCGTCATAAAGAAAAGACTTTACAATAGATTAGAAACGTTTAATCGTATACCATGCACAGTCTGTCTAGAGCATGCTTGTTGATTGGCTCATTTTTCTGTGGTTTACTTGTTGCCACGAAAGATAACGATCGAAAGTCATATTCAGATGCTCGTATATTGGTAACTTTTTATTTAGGATTTAATATTGTAACGGCAGGAAAGTGATTTTGTTTTTGTCTATGATACAAAAAGAACACCAGAACACTCGGCAATCTGATTTATATTCGGGGGCTTGGCCCCCGTATGTGTATGTATTGTCAGTTACATGAATTATGATAATACTGTCGTATATGTATTATCAGTTACATGAATAATGATAATACTGTCGTGTATGTATTATCAGATAAATAAATTATGATAAAACTGTCGTGTATGTATTATCAGTTACATGAATTATGATAATACTTTCGTGTATGTACTATCAGTTAAATGAATTATGATAATACTGTCGTGTATGTATGTATGTGTGTATTACCGGTTACATGAATTATGATAATACTGTCGTGTATGTATGTATTATCGGTTACATGGATTATGATAATACTGTCGTGTATGTATGTATTATCGGTTACGTGAATTATGATAATTCTGTCGTGTTTGTATGTCAGTTACATACATTATGATAATACTGTCGTGTATGTATGTATTATCAGTTACATGAACTATGATTATACTGTCTTGTATGTATGTATTATCGGTTACATGAATTATGATAATACTATCGTGTATGTATTATCAGTTACACATGCTAATACTGTCGTGTATTATCGGTTACATGAATTATGATAATACTGTCGTGTATGTATATCAGTTACATGAATTGAAATAATACTGTCATGTTTGAATTATCATCAGTTATATGAACTGTGATAATATTGTCGTGTATGTACTACATTGTATCAGTAACACAAATTATGATAGTACTGTTGTGTATGTAATATAGGTTACCTGATTTGAAATAATAGATCTACTGTTGTGTTTGTATTATCATCAGTTATATCAAATGGTATAATACTGTCGTATATGCATTATCAGTTACACGAAAAATGATACAACTGTCGTGTATGTATTATCAGTAAAATGAATTATGATAAAACTGTCGTGTATGTATTATCAGTTAAATGAATTATGATAATACTGTCGTGTATGTATTATCAGTTAAATGAATTATGATAAAACTGTCGTGTATGTATTATCAGTTAAATGAATTATGATAAAACTGTCGTGTATGTATCATCAAGAACATGATAATACTGTCGTGAATGTATTATCATCAGTTACATGAAATGTGATAATACTGTTGTGTATCTGCTATCATCATTTACATGAATTATGATAATAATTTCGTGTATATATTATCGGTTACATAAATTATGATAATATTGTCGCGCATGTTTGTTTTATCTGTTACATGAATAATGATAATACTGTCTTGTATGTTTGTATTATCGGTTACATGAATTATGATAAAACTGTCGTGTATGTATGTATGTATTACCAGTAACATACATTATGAAAATACCGTCGTGTATGTATTGTCAGTTATATGAATTATGATAATACTGTCGTGTATGTATGTATTATCGGTTACATTAATTATGATAATACTGTCGTGTATGTATATATTAACTTACCATTCACATGAATTATGATAATACCGTCGTGTATGTATTATCAGTTACATGAAATTTTGTGTTTCTTTTGTATATTATATCAATTATAAATTACGTGAAACATAGTAATGATTACATTTATTTTTTCATTACCACCGTCTTTTATGTTGTCAGTCAAACATTATGATATTCTCGCCTGTAACTGCGATAACTTGATGGGAGAGGACGTTAATTAATGAATTATAACATATTTACCAGCAGCATGAAATATGTTTGATCATTTCACGTGTTACTAAGCATAGTTAGTGTTATCTTGTATTTGAAATAATCTCATTTAGAGATAAATGCTTTAGAAAAAAATGACAGTATGCTTATATACAAAAAGAAAACATACCAAACGTTTTGAAATGTAACTACCTTTGTCATTCAATCTTCTATGAGCCATTATTACAGATTTCTATTCTAGATATGCCGTCCACAAAATGACTTTGTAGGTATTTTGGTTTTATTGAATTTTAAGATTTAACACTGATATTCAATTCAATGTTTATTTGGCTTATACAATCTAAAAAAACAACAAAAAAACATGAGTTGCCTAACTGGGTTTTGAACCCAAACCTCTCGCTTCCTAAACGAGCGTGTAACCCTTGGACCACGGAGAAAACAGCCTGAAGCAAACCACATTATTCTATATTAAGGTTTGTAATCCTTATTAATTTCGAGATACTTTGTTCACGGTAAACCTGTTGTTTAACACTGATGTAAATAACAATGGAGCTTAATATAAGCATGTAGGGTATATCTGTGAAATAATTTAGCAAAAATCTTCTCACTACTCTTTGTGCAATATGCGCTGAAGTGTGGCTAAAACAGCGCTTTGTTTTCGTTGATTTAATTACTTATGGTAGAAATTGATTAACGATCGTAGACTGCCTAAATTCGTCCCTGTTCTAGAGTCAACATCTCAGAACGTTTAAATAACAAATGCTCATTTAGGCGATAACAATAATCCGAAGCTTTACGGTAATAGCCGAGTAATCTTCAATGATTAAAATGATATTCATCCGCGTAACAAAATTATTTTTAGAAATCTTCGATCAATCGGGAACTTTTTTTTTCCCTGAAAAGGTTTAAA